TGGGTGGGTGGAATTAAATCCGAAACTTCACCCAATCTAAGACTCAAAGGCCAAGGAGTTTCCGAACTCTGAAGTTTGGATTCTTGGATGTTGTCCAGTGAATCTAGCCCGTTGCCTGATTCTAAGTTCAGGTCTTGAGTTACATCCTCCCCTCCGCGGGTATCCGGCTTGGAGGGATCGGAAATCCGGACGTAGCTAGTCCTTAAGATAGATGAAGAGTCGCCGCACTATGCCTCTACCACGGCAACGTGATGGGTGACTTGGGGAGAATTAATTTATCTTAGATCGGGTTTAAGCCCGACCTGGTCATAATCCGTAGTGACCCCCAAGGCGGCGATGCGATTCAAGAGCTCGTTTACGGAAGAGAGATCCATTGGATCTAACTGCTCGACGAGTTCCGAGCTGACGTGAAGATTGCTTTTGATGACCCGAGAGGTCACCGTCGGCGCAACGGCCGAACAGGCGGTCATGAGAAAACCGCCTAGCCGGAGAGTTTGGCCAACAGCCAAGGCTCCCTTAGTAACGGCGCTGTCTTTAAAGACGGGAAGAGGCATCCTTCCTGATTGCGACGGCACAGAGTGTTGGGTTTCGTAGTAATTTCAAAAAAAATCCTACGCTCACGCAAGATCATAGTGATGCATAGCAACGAGAGGAGGAGAGTGTGATCTACGTACCCTTGTAGATCGACAACGGAAGCATTTGGTTGATGTAGTCGTACGTCTCCATGGCCCGATCGATCAAGCACCGAAACTACGGCACCTCCGAGTTCTAGCACACGTTCAGCTCGATGACGATCCCCGGACTCCGGTCCAGCAAAGTGTCAGGGAAGAGTTCCGTCAGCACGACGGCGTGGTGACGATCTTGATGTACTACTGCAGCAGGGCTTCGCCTAAACACCGCTACAATATTATCGAGGACTATGGAGGAAGGGGGCACCGCACACAGCTAAGAATATGATCACGTGGATCAACTTGTGTTTCTCTGGGGTGCCCCTGCCTCCGTATATAAAGGCTCAAGGGAGGGGGGGGTGCGGCCGGCCTAGGAGAGGCGCGCCAGGAGGAGTCCTACTCCCTCTGGGAGTAGGATTCCCCCCCCCCCCAATCCTAGTTGGAATAGGATTCGCGGAGGGGGGAAAAGAGAGAGGGGGGCCGGCCCCCTCTCCTTGTCCTATTCGGACCAAGGGAGGGGAGGGGCGCGTGGCCCATCTTGGGCTGCCCCTTCTCTTTTCCACTAAGGCCCACTTAGGCCCATATAGCTCCCGGGGGGTTCCGGTAACCTCCCGGTACTCCGGTAAAATCCCGATTTCACCCGGAACACTTCTGATATCCAAACATAGGCTTCCAATATATCAATCTTTATGTCTCGACCATTTCGAGACTCCTCGTCATGTCCGTGATCACATCCGGGACTCCGAACAACCTTCGGTACATCAAAATGCATAAACTCATAATATAACTGTCATCGTACCCTTAAGCGTGCGGACCCTACGGGTTCGAGAACAATGTAGACATGACCGAGACACGTCTCCGGTCAATAACCAATAGCGGGACCTGGATGCCCATATTGGCTCCTACATATTCTGCGAAGATCTTTATCGGTCAGACCGCATAACAACATATGTTGTTCCCTTTGTCATCGGTATGTTACTTGCCCGAGATTTGATCGTCGGTATCCCATACCTAGTTCAATCTCGTTACCGCCAAGACTCTTTACTCGTTCTGTAATACATCATCCCGCAACTAACTCATTAGTTGCAATGCTTGCAAGGATTTAAGTGATGTGCATTACCGAGAGGGCCCAGAGATACCTCTCCGACAATCGGAGTGACAAATCCTAATCTCGAAATACGCCAACCCAACATGTACCTTTGGAGACACCTGTAGAGCTCCTTTATAATCACCCAGTTACGTTGTGACGTTTGGTAGCACACAAAGTGTTCCTCTGACAAACGGGAGTTGCATAATCTCATAGTCATAGGAACATGTATAAGTTATGAAGAAAGCAATAGCAACATACTAAACGATCGGGTGCTAAGCTAATGAAATGGGTCATGTCAATCAGATCATTCAACTAATGATGTGATCTTGTTAATCAAATGACAACTCTTTGTCCATGGTTAGGAAACATAACCATCTTTGATTAACAAGCTAGTCTAGTAGAGGCATACTAGTGACACTCTGTTTGTCTAGTTATTCACACATGTATTATGTTTCCGGTTAATACAATTCTAGCATGAATAATAAACTTTTATCATGATATAAGGAAATAAATAATAACTTTATTATTGCCTCTAGGGCATATTTCCTTCACAGAGGAACTCTCAATGAAAGCACCAATGTCGGTGTCAAAACCGGCGGATCTCGGGTAGGGGGTCCCGAACTGTGCGCCTAGGCCGGATGGTAACAGGAGGCAAGAAACACGATGTTTTACCCAGGTTCGGGCCCTCTTGATGGAGGTAAAACCCTACGTCCTGCTTGATTAATATTGATGATATGGGTAGTATAAGAGTAGATCTACCACGAGATCAAGGAGGCTAAACCCTAGAAGCTAGCCTATGGTATGATTGTTGTATGATGAAGTTGTCCTACGGACTAAAACCCTCCGGTTTATATAGACACCGGAGAGGGTTAGGGTTACACAAAGTCGGTTATAGTGGTAGGAGATCTAAATATCCGCATCGCCAAGTTTGCTTTCCACGCCAAGGAAAGTCCCATCCGGACACGGGACGAAGTCTTCAATCTTGTATCTTCATAGTCCTGGAGTCCGGCTGAAGGTATAGTCCGGCTACCCGGACACCCCCTAATCCAGGACTCCCTCAGCTGTGTTGTGGATCCAGTGACAGTAGTAGATTGGGATTCTTCCTTGTACCACCCATCGCATCGCCAATCTTCCCCCTCCTCTGTAGGCCTCAACAATGTCAGGGGAAAGGCGGTGTTGTGGATCCGGTGACAGTAGTAGATTGGGATTCTTCCTTGTAATTAGGGTTGCTAAGTCGCGGGCGCATTGACCATGGCTATGGTGGCGGCGACACTCCATGTCCTGGTCCGGGCTAGCAAGGCAGGGGCGATGTCCCCGAGCCAGAATAATGTCATTCTCGCCTTATCTTCGCACCAGTGGTGCGTTTAGCACCCTCGAAGGGCACGTGAAGGTGTGTCTCAAACCTAGATCCAAACATATACACATTCTCACAAGTTGATAATATTTCAAACATATAAAGGACCAAAAGAAATTAACGTAATTCTTAGATGAAACAGACGTTGCAAGCATGTCTTTGGTTTGATCATTGTAAACGTCGAGCATGTTGACCAAAATGTTGTATGTGACACTCTCTCTCCCCTCTCCTCTGCAACATGGCTGCCGGATGCTTTCCGTGCCAACTCATTTGCTCTTTAGTTTCATGTCTAGATGTACAAGCAATAATGCAATACATTTATCAAGATAAATATTAAGTTGAGTAAATGCATCGTTGTTTAATGGAAGGATGGATGTAAATGCATTGACCTTCCCCGATAATATATCTTGTATTCGGAATGTTGGCGGCACTAGCTTAGCCATTTAAAAACATTATCTATCTAAATTATCTTTAAAATACAAATAATCCATCAATAAATCAGAATGTGCCAACCAACAGTATATATAGAGACAACATTGATAACGAGTTATGAGCTTCGATCTACAAAGATTGCATGGAGATAGAGTTGATGGAGATGGTTTTATGGCACCAATTATGTCCACAAGTGTTCATAGTATATGATGAATTTAGCATCTCTATTTCCACATTTCTGTCAACCTTTTCCTTTCTCACTCTATTTTTGGAGACATATTTTATGATGGAAGGTGGAGTGTCGATTTCCGCTTCAGCAGCACTTGATTGCGCTTGTAGAGTGTGCATGATAAGACATAGATCACTAGTGGTGGAGCTTCATATGTTAGAGATACGACACACAATCGAACACGATGAAGAACGAAAACAAGCAAGGGATACGGGATTTTAATGTGGAAACCCCCTTTAACACGAACGAGAAAAAACCAAGGACGCCAGCCAGACAAACTTCACTGTATCAGAGGAGGTTTAAAACGTCAGGAATTTACAGCCGATCAATTATCCTATGCAGTGGCTTACAAAACCCACCCCCTCCCCCCCCACCCCCACCCAAGCGTCCCTGTCGGGGGCAGCCCACATGGGTTAACTTTAGCCCAAGCCTACCAGCGCACCGCTCGCTCTTCAAAAGCTAGCCTTTTCTCTTTATACTTGATGTCTTCCAAGAGGCAAAAGTTATATCGGATGCCAGGGGCAGAGGCCAACGGTTAAGACTGGGTAGGCCACGGACGAGGAACCGTTGCGCACAAAGGAAGAAGGAAGAGAGGAAGAAGATGTACACTGGTCTGTCTCTAGCCGTTGGAAGAAGATCCAGCGGTCCCCAAAAAAAGGACCTACGCAAAAGATATTTTCAAAGATAACGGGCGCTTGAGTAGAACACATATTTTCCACGTTACCACCCACGCTGTCGCTAACGCAATAATACTAGACGTACATGTGATTGATACAAAACTTTACAGGTTGAGAACGTGGCCTCATCTAATTGGCCCCCTGATTTTCATGGATGGGCCCACCCTTCTAATTAAATCTCTGCCAATCACAGCCCATCAGCCCTATAAACTCCCTGTAACTTCGTGTACGTGTAGCATTGCTCTCGCTAACGTGTACCACTACTATTCATGCATATGCATGCGTAGATGGAGGAGTCATGCCCTTCGAGAGAGTGCGAAGCCCTACGTGCCGCCGCCGACGAGCCCGAGTGGCTTTGTATATTGGCGGGATGACCACTCCACGCACTTGTACTGGTGTCAGTGTGCTTCTCGAAGTCGAACACCTGGACCATTCTGAGACCTATAAATAGCCACCTGCAGTCGCACTTGGCTGCATCGCAACCCGCAGCAGTTCAACACTTACACAGCCATACACATCACCTGTAGATCGACCGGTGTCTTACGCGACGATGGAGTACCAGGGGCAGACCGGCCACGCCACCGACAAGGTGGAGGAGTACGGCCAGCCCGTGGCCGACCACGGCGGCGCCACCGGCGGGCCCACGGGGACGCACGGCGCCGCCGCCGCCGCGGGTGCCGGGCAGCTCCAGCCGACCAGGGACGACCACAAGACCGACGGCGTCCTGCGCCGCTCCGGCAGCTCCAGCTCCAGCTCGGTGAGCCCAAGGACAGATCTGCCTGCCGCTGTATAGATGGACTCACTCGATCGGTCATCTTAACTCGTTGTGCTTCTTGTTGTGTTTAAAATGTAGTCTGAGGACGACGGCGCTGGCGGGAGGAGGAAGAAAGGGATGAAGGAGAAGATCAAGGAGAAGCTCCCCGGCAGAGCCCACAAGGACGCCACCGGGCAGCAGCACACGCCGGCGGCCGGCGAGTACGCCGGCACCGGCACCGGCACGCACGGCGCGGAGGCCACCGGCGAGAAGAAGGGTGTCATGGAGAAGATCAAGGAGAAGCTTCCCGGCGGACAGCACTAGGGTAAGCTAGGCAGCTAGCGATCGACCTGTGCTGTGTCTGCGTTCGGTCGAAGCTCGGTAGCATGCGTACTTCTGCATGCGTTCCTACGGATAAATAATGAGCGCCGTTCGAGGTGCCGGAGTATATATGTTGTGTGTGTGACGTATTTGTGGACCCTGTGTACGTGTATTTGTATCTCCATCGTAATAAAGCGCTTGTTTGTATTTGTGTTTTGGTCCTATAGCTGAGCTCGCCCTTTAGCAATGTGGTTTATTTGATGGCAAAGAAGAATTCATATAAAAGGTGAGATAGTTCAGATGCCTCAACAAGCAGCTATGACGATCTGGGTGCTAGCAACAATTTTCTTACAAGTAAACACTCCAAATCAGCCTACTCGCAAGCGGGATCATGTATGGAAGAAGGCTGCAGTGGGAGCTGTTAAATTAAATGTTGATGCTTCTTTTCATGCGGATAGGTTCACGGGATCTTGTGATGTCATTGCCCGTGACGATCACGGTAAGTTCCTAGGTGCAGCGACTCACCTATTACCGCATATGGCGAGTATATAAGTAGCAGAACTAATCGCTATTTGATGTAGCAGAACTAATCGCTATTTGATGTGGTTTAAATCTTGGAGCAAATCTGGGGTGCACAAATTTGGCAGTCGAGTCTGACTGTTTGCACTTGAGCCCATCTCTGATCCAAACACATATGGGAATAAGCGTACCAATCATAGCCGAGTGTTCGGCACTGGAGTTTGCTAGTATCATTTTTGATCACTGTAGTAGAGAGGCCAATTCGGCCGCGGATGATTTAGCAAAATATTGTATTAGTTCTGGCAAGTTTGAAGCATGGGAAACTGTCATTTCTAACTTTATTCTTCACCATTATGTAAACGATCTAGCTATCATTTGATGAATAAAGTTTATGATGCTAAAAAAGTTCAAAGCAATAAACGTATATTGTTTTTCTCTCCTCCTCTCTGGCGGCTGGAACCTAGCCGCCGCTAGGAGAGGCCATCTTTCAGCGCCGTCCTTCGGCAGCTCCCCTCTTCGGCGACCTCGGTCATCGGTGATGAGGGGGTCGCCGGATCCAAGCGCGTTGATCAATTTTACTCTCTTCTACGGTAGGTTTTTAGGTTGTTCATCGCCTTGGCTTCAACGGCGACGATAAGGGCGCTGAATAAAGATTCTTCGAATTCTTCCCTGACGAGGCCATCGGTCCTATGGATGGGATGGATTTAGAAACTAGTCTTTTCAACTAAGGATGGCGGCAGCGGCATCCTCGTGGTGGAACTATGTTCTCGGGCTCTGCTGTTACGACGGCGTTTGCTCCAACGTGAGCGTGGAGCTTGGGAGGTAGTCCAGGAGCGAATGCAGATTGTGATCTGCATCAACGACATCTGGAAGACGGAACATGTGTTGGATTGATGGTTCATGGATGGCAAGTATGGTTTCCTCCTTCGACGTCTTAGTCGTGGTGGGACGCCAGATCTGGAGTTCGATGGCGTGTTCGGGGTGTTGTCCCGGTCTGATTCGCTCAACGACAATAGTTTGTTTTTGGTGAGCCACCTTGAAGGTCTGTAAAGCTGCACATCAGCGATGGAGCCGCGTCGAGCTCGGGTGAGAAGGTGATCCGTTATTTTTTTCTTCGGTGACTACTGTGGTGGTGCCGGAGGCAGGTGACGATCGTTAGTGTCAAGCTCAAAGATATTATGCTGTCTTTTCAGTTTTGTCATATTGGTTCTTACGTAATTTGTACTTTATTCTTTATAATATGAGTGAGACACATATTATTATGAAAAAAAGTCCTGATCGATGCAACGACTAATGTAAACTTCAATCGGTCGAATGCAGTTTTGGTCCGTTGGTAAAGTTTCAACTGATTTATTGTAATTTTTGCATGAGAACACAAGGTTCAAATTTTTGTTTTTAGTTGACAATTTTTTTTCTTTTTGATCAAATATCTATCTTCACTCATGGCGGTACAACGGAATCAGAAATAATAAAAGTTACATCCAGATTTTTAGATCACCTAGCAATGACTACAAACACTGAAGCGAGACGAAGGTCCGCAACCGTCATCGCCCCTTCTTCGCCGGAGCCGCGAGCAAAAGTTGTTGTATTAGACAATCGGGAAGTCAGTTGAAAAGCCGTGGTGCTATGGAAAAACAACCGTCGCCGATGAAGAGTAGCGTAGATCGGAAGATCCAAGCTGAAAACACACGATCGAAGACGTACGACAACCAAATCCGCCGAAGACACACCTTCATACGCCCATCATGATGCTAGACACACCACCGAAACGAGGGCTACGCGAGGAAAATTATACATTTTCAAGGAACCGCCGATGTCTCGTTTTTATGAGCTGGACACAAACCGTAACAAGACTTCAAGAAACACTTAAAAATGTAACTCTCCCACTGGCAAGCGCCGGATCCAGCGCGCCCCTAAGCCCCCAGAGACGAGTGGGCCAGCGACAGCGCCGGAGGGCGGCAGAGGAACCCTCATAGGTAGAAGACGGCTGTGTAAGAGATCATGTCTTCTAAGCAACAAATTTTCGTAGCATACCTAACTTATTAAGGAAATAATTATTTTCATGTGACATCTAAATGTAAATATTGGAATTGAATTGACTAAGCAACTAAATCAAATTCAGTATCAGTTGAACAAAAGAGTTCCGGATTGGGTGGCTACGGTGTCGTATGGGTAGTGTACTCCTTGGATGCGTCATATCATTTTCCGACTTTGTTCTGTTCGTAATATGTGTTGCTTGTTTAACTGTTCAGCCAGAGCATCTACTCTTTAAATCACCCTCAAACGCCTTCCGATACCCCTAAAAGTCTGGAATTTTGGTGGCGAGTTATTAAAGGATTTGTACCAACTAGATGAGTCTTGTGTGCAAGACGTGTGGAGCATATTGGGTTCTATGGAACTTGTGGTCAGGAAGAAAGTATATAGCATGCATTGATTGATTGCATTTGGGCGAAACTTTTCGGGCAAGAGGTGAAACTTATCACATGAGTCAAAATACCAAACCTACGTCCAAACTTTTGGGCGATGGTTATGCTTGACGAAATGGCAGTGAAACAAGCTGATGCTTGTGTCGTCTTATGTGGCGTTTGGGCAGTCTGGACTGAGAGCAATGCGCGCGTTCATGGGGAGACGACTAGAACCATTCAACAATCTGTGAAATGGACTATAGACATAGCAACGGACCTATCATAGGCCGGTAAACATCAAATACTCAGACCAATGAAACATATGCAGAGTTGGCAGCCACTTAAAGATCCGTTCATAAAGATTAATGTTGATGCCTCTTTCCTGGAGAAGACTCATCGGGGAGGTACTAGTCTAGGAGTACGGAACCATGAGGGCACTCTGATTTATGCTCAAGCTCTATGGTTTGAGTCTGAATTATCAGTAATGGTAGGAGCTTGAGCTACCGTGATCATACCATTACTGAGAATGAAAGAGCCACCGTGCTAAAGGATGACCGGCAAGTGATGGAAACACAAGTGGGAGAAGTTGAGGGCCTTCCGTGACGTCACGGGTACAAAAATGTTTTTCACATGGATGTGCATTTTTCTGTCAAGGAGAACAAGAAAGAGGAAAGGCACAAGCTCATGTTGGATGCGCAAAAGCAATGAATTGAGACTAGAAGAGGACGGACAAGAAGTTGCAAATTGTGAGAGAAAGAGAGAAGATCGAGTTGGGGAGGAAAGAGGCGTTGATAAGATGGGAGCTCGAAAAGGTCAAGACATTTGAAGAGATTGAGCATGAGAAGGAGAGGTTGTCAATCGCACGAGGCGCGGAGGATGCCAAGATAATGTTGACAGACGGAAACCTCTTGGATGAACATGCAAAAAAGTGGCTTGTGAAAATGAAGAAGGAGATCAACGAACGTAAGACGTACAAGGCGGCGAGGACGACTATGGCAGTAGTGGAAGAGGAGGCAAAGATGCATGCGGAGTAGGATACAAGGATGGCCATGGAGCAGATGATATGGATGACGTCCGACGAATGATCCGACCAGTAGGTGATCCGTCATGCTTGGACTTTGATTTCATGTTGGTATGATTGTTGAACTATGATTTGTTTTGTTTTGTCATATTTGTTTCAAACTATTGAATGTGATGAATTTATAACCTATGATCAACATGCATGAATTTAATGATCCACATTTATAAGGGGTCAACATGCTCGTGGATGTGTAGGAGCCGGATTTGTCAAGTCCAGCTGTAGATGCTCCCAACATTCTTATATCGTTTAGTCATTTTATGTGCTTGTGACTTTCTTATTTCTTAATTCAAAGTTGGACTCATGTCTTGATCCTTCATTCTAAAATTCTTCGTACACGAATCAATCTGTGGTTGGATGGTTAGGAGGACAGTGGTATTCTTAGTCCATCAGGATTTAAGTCCTAATGCTCGCATTATTTTTGGATTTATTTCAGAATTTTCAGCGATGTGCTTTCAGTGAAAAGAGACATTCCCGTCGACGACGAATCTTTCGAAGGTGCTCATACAGATAGGAAATGCATATTTATGTTCATAAAGTTGAGTGTATGCACGTGTATATATATATGAACGCTTGCGTCGTACACTATATTCCTTTGAAAAAAAAACTCTACGCCTGTCGATCGAGGAGTAAGACAATTTCCACGTAGCACGCACGCTGTACCTAGCTAACATCTGTTCATCCATGAACGCGTCGATGGACTAGTCAGGTAGTCATGCCCTTCGAGAATGTCCGAAGACGTACGTGGCGCCGCAGACGACTCCGCGTGGCATGCAGCCGCACCTTTTACTCTCGCCGGCTTTGTTTATTGGCCGAAGGATAGCCGCTCCACTATACATGCACGCACACGTCCTTCCACCTGCTTGAACACCTACGACCATTATAAACAGACCATCCGGACAGCTTTGCACTTATCTCCATCGCAGTTCGCAACAGTTCAACACACTTACACAACCACACGTATCACCTCTAGATCGATCACATTTCGTAGTCCGTACCAC